TTTTTTACTTTATGGCTGGTTTTTTAGAATCTTTTTTTTTTTTTTGTCTGATTTTTAGACTTTGGCTGTTTTTCCAGATAATTATTGCTGAACTTGTGCTGGCTCTAACCCCTCAGTTCTGCTCGGCTCCACAGGAAGCGGACCTGGTGACGACCCATGAGCTCGGCCATAACTTCGGCGCAGAGCACGACCCAGACAACGTCCTGTACTGCGCCCCGCGGGAGGACCAGGGGGGGAAATATGTCATGTACCCCATCGCCGTGAGCGGAGACCACGTCAACAACAAGGTAGCTCTGATCAGAACTTTGATCTGGACCGGTGCGGTCCAGGACATCTCTCTTACTGGTTCAGATCAAAGTACAGAACCTGAAACGGCCGACAACAGAAGAAACTGCATTTCCTATGAAAGTCCAATGAGAGCCGAATGACTGGATCATTTTATTAAACTGATAAAACAGTAGCTCTTTTTTTCAGCTAATGTACATACTGTATTTAGCTGTTTTTGTGTCTGCAGCTCTTCTCTAACTGCAGTAAACGCTCCATCGTGAAGCGGCTGCGCTCCAAGGCGGCGTCCTGCTTCAAGGAGCGCAACATCAACGTGTGTGGGAACTCCCGGGTGGAGCAGGGCGAGGAGTGCGACCCGGGGCTGCTGCAGATGACCTCAGATAGATGCTGCTCCGCGGACTGCAGGCTGAAGGCCGGAGCTCAATGCAGGTCCGGTTCTGTCCTCTGGTTCTGGGTTCTGTTGGTGCCGGGTTAGCTCATCCCGTCTCTGTGTTCAGTGACAGGAACAGCGCCTGCTGCAAAGACTGCAGCTTCCAGCTCCGAGGGGAGGTCTGCCAGGAGCCCATCGACGCCACCTGTAAGGGCCACTCCTACTGCACAGGTGAGACGGTTCTGACCCGTTTATTACAAGTTCTGTTGGAGACAAAAACAAACGTATCTGACAGAACTTTAGCTGATTTCAGCTGAGGAAGACACTGAAAAAACTCTTCAGGGTTTGTAACGCTTAGTACTAAACAAGAGCTACGTAAATGACACATGAAGGATTGTTGAGTGTCAGCTGAACAACAGCTAAACAACAGCTGAATGACAGCTGAGTGTCAGCTGAACAACAGCTAATTATCAGCTAAACAACAGCTGAATGTCAGCTGAAAGAAGGCTGAATGTCAGCTAAATGAAAGCTGAATGACAGCTGAGTGCAGCTGAACAACAGCTAAACAACAGCTGAACAACACCTAAACAACAGCTGAAAGAAGGCTGAATGTCAGCTAAATGAATGCTGCATGACAGCTGAGTGCAGCTGAACAACAGCTAAACAGCTAATTATCAGCTAAACAACAGCTGAATGTCAGCTGAAAAAAGGCTGAATGTCAGCTAAATGAAAGCTGAATGACAGCTGAGTGCAGCTGAACTACAGCTAAACAACAGCTAATTATCAGCTAAATAATATCTGAATGTCAGCTAAAAAATATCTTAATGTCAGCTGGATGACAGTTGAATGTCTACTGAAAAACAGTTAAACAACAGCTGAATATCAGCTGAAGGTCAGCTGAATGACAGCTGAACAACAGCTAAATGTCAGCTAAATAACAGCTGAATGACACCTAAATGGCAGTTGAATGTCAGCTGAACAACAGCTAAACAACAGCTGAATGTCAGCTGAACAAAGGCTGAATGACAGCTGTGTCAGCTGAACAACAGCTAATTATCAGCTAAACAGCTGAATTTCGGCTGAAAGAAGGCTCAATGTCAGCTAAATGAAAGCTGAATGTCAGCTAAACAACAGCTGAATGACAGCTGAGTGTCAGCTGAACAACAGCTAATTATCAGCTAAATAATAGCTGAATGTCAGCTGAAAGAAGGCTGAATGACAGCTGTGTCAGCTGAACAACAGCTAAACAACAGCTAATTATCAGCTAAATGAAAGCTGAATGTCAGCTGAACAAAGGCTGAATGACAGCTGAGTGTCAACTAAACAACAGCTGAACAACAGCTGAATATCAGCTGAATGACAGCTGAAAAACAGCTAAATGTCAGCTAAATAACAGCTGAAAGAAGGCTGAATGTCAGCTAGATGAAAGCTGAATGTCAGTTAAAAAACAGCTGAATATCAGCTGAACAAAGGCTGAATGACAGCTGTGTCAGCTGAATAACATCTAAACAACAGCTAATTATCAGCTAAATAATAGCTGAATATCAGCTGAACGAAGGATGAATGACAGCTGTGTCAGCTGAATAACAGCTAAACAACAGCTAATTATCAGCTAAATAATAGCTGAATGTCAGCTGAATGAAGGCTGAATGACAGCTGAATGTCTGCTACACAACAGCTAAATGACACCTGAATGACAGCTGAATATCAGTTAAACAACAGCTGAACATCAGCTGAATATCAGTTAAACAACAGCTGAACATCAGCTGAATATCAGTTAAACAACAGCTGA